CTAAACATGCTACAGCTCGAACGGAGTTGTGTACCTACCATCTCTGACGCTATTTGTTGTATTGTTTGAAACAGACAGCTTTATAACAATTAATGACAATTCAGAAAGCATTTATCAATACTTTGACATCGTTAGAGTACAGTAAAAGTACATGTCAATACAAACTGCAAAATAATAGGCCACAATTATTCAAATCGTGAATAGTATGATATGCTGATGGCTCTTGGAGCTTCAAAATAATCGTATGGGTGAAGCAGTGCGATTGGCTTGGCAGAGGCGGTCAATTTGCTATTTGCTTGGCCACCTCGTTCTCCAGACCTAACGCCATGTGATTTTTTATTTTGGGGCTTCTTAAAAACATAACACCAGTGGCAAATTAGAATAAATTGCAGAACCTCCTATTTCAATCAATACAGCAAATAACACCAGAGGTGATACGCAACTCCATTCGAGCAGTAGCACAATGTGCTTAAGTATGTTTAACAGCAGACGGTGGAAATTTTGAACAATTATAACTCGTTTGTCGTAATTGTTTATCTAATGATGAAAATTTAAATTTATAAATATAAACATTTTTATTATTTTTGGATATTTGATATACATATCTCGAAAAATACCGGTCTGATTGAAAAATCATAAAGACACTTTTTTATCACCTTATCTAGCTTAATATGATCCCATAGTCCGTGTCAGCGAATTTTGTAACACCCTGTAGATGTAGGGAGACAGCAGCATAAAAACTTAAAAATTTCGATGCTCTTATAATTTTGTAAATTCAACCAGTGATTTGTAATTGTATTTGAAACGAAAAAGATCTCTATCATGTTGCTTATTATCATTGTTATTAGCCTGAAGTAAACTTACCACATAATTAAATATTTAAATCGAAAGTAAAGCCAAAACTATCAGTTTTGTAAAAAAAAATAACCAATACAGACATTGAAAGCGTGGAAAAATTAATACAAAATTAAATTAATAAATACCAAATTTTTTGTCAATAATTTTTCATTTTTATTTACCTAAAACGAAGATTTGGCGCATTTTGTAAACTGTTCCACTGTATTGTAAAGTAGATCTTTTTATTTGAAATATAAGTAGTAAGCAAATAAAGTGATCGAATTTAAAAAATTCTGGGGTTCTTACTTAGTAACAGGTAACAGCACATATCTAACAGTGTCTCCCAGTATTTTTGTTCGATTCCGACCCCATAAAACAGTCATAAGGACCAACTACACTCGTAATAAAGGAAGAGACTGCTGCTTCATTTAATTTGTGGACCAAAAAGAAATACAGCTGTCCTTACGAACCCCGCCCTCTATTCAAATATATGGCGAAGTCGCCGGGAACGCAGCTTATTACCGCTAAGGCAGAGACAACTAAGATGTGTGATTAAGGTGGGCGTCATTTGTTCGCGCAATACGTGGATTATTTACTAAACTAAATATGTATTAAGAGTGTCACAGAAATGCAAAGCGTGTCGGGGATTACACTGGTTACAGATTCTGTGTGTACACCTAATAAAACCAAAAACAAATAACTAATGCATGGCAGAGCGACGTAAGTAGTCCCCGTTACTCCCACAGTGAAACGACATAATTGTTTCCCAAGTGGAGAAAAGAACAAAAAGTATAAAGTTTTTTGTGAAAAATTTAAAAAGCTGTAGTGAATATACTGTCGTATCTCGTCCACTCCATTGGAAATAGAATGAAATTTGAGAGTCGTACGTCGTGTACTAATCGGGAACTTTGCCCTCGTTAACTGCACTTGAGTAGAGTAGACGTGCAATCGCACCTATTGATGGCAGCAGGCCATGGATTACTAACTGTATCATCGTAACTGTTCCGGGTATTACATCAAGAAGGCTACCCAACAAAAATTTAGGTGTATGTTTAATTGCAAAAAATACGTTTCTTTGTTAGTAAATTCATACTTTTAATTTTTTTTGATACGATTGTGGGTACACATGTTTGCATGTGACCCATTTAAATATCACGTTAAGAGTGCCAGCCTGACGCCGGACCAGTCTGACAATTGCAAGCGACCAGAAAAAGACGCAAATTTGCAACGCTTGACACACACATTATGGTTCCAGGAAAAGGGCCAGCGAAGTCGGCAGATAGGCGCCAGGGACTGGATACTGATACCTGCGAGCGACTCCACTAGGGACTCGCCAACGAACGCTTGCCCCAACAACTTTTCTTACTGCCCTTGTGTTTTCAATAAAATGTACCTTTTATTTACCGTTGAGAGAGAATTCCATTTTGCTGCACACTAAAAGCAACCCTCACGATGTTATATGAAAATCGCATTATTTTTAGTCAAACAGGATTCTATTCTAAAACGCCAATCCTCGTTTTTTTTTGTTGTAAGGCAATCTGGGTACACCCTGTACATATTTCTTAATTGTCACACTGTATTACTGAGTTCCAGAGATAAAATCAGTTACTGTATCTTTTATTATTTCTTTATAGAGGACACCTTGTCTTTTCGAAGTCAGTTGAACATGTTGTATAAAAACACCTAGCAATAAAATTTAATGAGTTTCATAGGCGTCCATAAAAAAGTTTTCTGCTAAAGGTAAAAAATTATAATAATTTTTATATAATGTAGTAGAACATATTTTAATTAATCAAACAATTTTATTATATTGATGGTAAATTTTGGTTATGACATATCAAAAACCATTTATATTTTCATTAAAATGTATTACTGCACTGCACTGCTGCAATTTGTCAACAACTGAAATTTATGGCCGGTCGCCCAGTGCGGCTGTGTTTGTGCGCCGTTTACCCGCGCGCGCATTCTTCAACTGGGCGTATACATTTCTACCACATCCACGTTTAGTTCGACCAGACATGTATATGGATATGGCTAAATAAATATGGGAACAAGTTTTTGAAATATTTTAATGCCGAGTTGCTGCGTAGCGACCGAACCTAGTATATACTGCCTAGCTCTTTGGTCTTCAATTGAGATCAGAAAGACTATACAACCCAAGCAGAATTTTCTAACGAGAATAACTGCTTTTTTTATAAAATGGAAAGGTGGACACATTGTATTTTGTATTACTTAATATCCGGCGTGCCCGTTGCTTTTCATTCATTTGACTAGATTCAAAACATCGGTGAAAATTGTGACTATAGATTGGCGCTTTCTTTGTGGCTTATGACACTCAGTTGAGGCTCTCGGACATGGGATGGGCTATTAAAATGATGTTACGGTAGATTTTTGGCTTCGCGAACGTCTTCCGTGTGAAAATTCGAAAGATGCGTGAATTTCGAATATACCGTGCCAAAACACATTAAATTATGACATACAATATTTTTAGCGTCAGTAAAATGTTAGTCAGCGGCAAATATTAGCTTTTCTTCAAGCAATGCATGTCGTTACGAGCGACGATGAACATCAGCAGTATGACTTAAAACCTGGTTAGGCGAGCGGTTCACCCCTAAAAAAAAGGCATGAATCGACTAAATTTTTAAAACAAAAACCTACAGCATGAAACTTATTTATTTTATAAAGTGTAATTTTCTGATAATTTACATATTTTTTTTATATTTTTCGGCGTAGTCAGTCAATTAATTGTTATAAACAAAAAAATTACTCGCCGAATAGCTTTGAAAGTTTTATATTGTAAAATGGACTAAAATAAACACTTTTTGTTCTTTGACAAAAATTTGAAAAATGCTTCGTTTCCGAGATATTTACAATTTAATGTGAAAAAAGTGACGAAATCGACAAACTTTCTGAATTTTTTTTCTCAAAAACTACTGAAGATGAGAAAAAAATTCCTATAGTTTGTCGATTTCGTCAGTTTTTTAAATTATAAATATCTCGGAAACGAAGCATTTTTCGAAGAACAAAATGTGTTTTTTAGTCCATTTTATAATTTAATATATTTTCAAAGCCATTCGGCAAGTATTTTTTTTACAACTATTTTGTTTATAACAATTGACTGACCACGCAGAAAAATATAAAAAAAATATGTAAATTATCAGAAAAATACACTATATAATAAAAAAAGTTTCATGCTCTAAGTTTTTGTTTTAAAAATTTAGTTACCTTCATTTAGAAGCATCTTTTTAGGGGTGAACCGCTCGTCTAGGTTGTCTACCTTCTTTAATTTGCTGTATCTAGATTTAATTACCGAATCTTTCTCAAAATTACTTTTATTTCGAAGAATCATGTATTTGTGAGAAAAATTGTATTTTGAAACATTTCTTTACAGATTTTGACTTTTATGACCATTTTTAAGCTTTCATTTTTCAATATACCAAAGGCCAAAAATTAAACTAAAATATTTTAATGAATAATTTTTAAGACGAGTTTTTAATCTTTTTGTAGTTTTTCTGAACTTAGTTCCAACATTTTTATTACCTACCTAAAATAGTAGAAGCATCCATATTTTTTGATAGTACAAATTATATTGTGACTCAGTCTTTATATAGGCAACCAGCAATACATTTTTATAGATTTTATTACACATTGTCTAAATATGAATTAATGCACAAATAAAAGACTTTCCTCCATTCTAATGCAGATTTTCTATAAAATGACTAATTTAAAACTCAAATTACATTTTGTTGTAAAGTTTGTAATTTGCCGCTTTTAAACAAGTAAATTACAAATTTCTTTACACCAAAATGTCATTTTAGTTTGAAACTAAGTCCATTTTATAGAAAATCTGCTTTAAAATGGAGGAAAATTTGATATTTGTGCATTAATTCATATTTGGACAAACTGTGTAATAAAATCTATAAAAATGTATTGCTGGTTGCCTATTTGCTATAGAGTCCTCTTGTAGTTTACCTGGGATGAATATTGTTGCCTACTGCACAAAAACATCTTCATTTTACTAGTATTTTTGTGAATATTTAAAAAATTACTTGATCTCTATAGCTAATCATTTCTTTTTGCACAGGGTGTTGATAAAACTTGGTGTATTTTATCATATAAGTATTGTTTTTGGTAAGGTGCAGAAGTGAAACAAAAACAAGAACAATAATAAAGAACCATTTATTTATATAAAAAACAATGATAAAGAAAATACATTTTTTCCTTAAATATAAATTTTTTTCATGCGAATCCCAACCGATTTAGTCGAAACGAAACTAACGCCACAATTACCTTTCATGATATTAAAAAATAACATCCGACGAATTTTGGCTAACACATCCACTGACTACATTATCTGGTTATAACGAAGCATGATCCTGTAAAGAATAGCAGATTTATGTATAGCGATGTGTCTTTGATCGGTCGAGGGGAAAATGCGAATTTATTCTTGGTTCAATAAATCCTGGATGTTGTGGTTGTGAGGGTACAGAGGGTGCCACCAGTCGAGGACTCGGAAATTGATCACAGGGTCTAGGTTGATGTTAGTACAGGCGCTGCCATCTGGCGGCGGATAGCCCATTATCCCGGAGCCGAACCCCAACTGAAGTCTGTGGTGTCGGAAGCCCTGGGAGAGCGTCAGGCAGACAGATGTCAGCACTTGCCCTGCAAGAGATACAATAAGCAATATTTGAAAATTGACAGTAATAATAATCAGAAAAATGATACTTTATTTACTGTAAATAGCAACATTATCATTTCCTAAATTTTTTGTCAATATCTCCCACATAATTTTTTAACAAAATATGATTATTTAAAAATTACTTATACAGTGGCTGGTGGCTGCTATCAAAAGGGGAAATTTTTTTTTTTTTTTCTAATACCTGATCATTTGCTCTCTGAATATCAAATAAATGCAATCTACAGATACAAAGAGATTTTATGTCAAGAGAACATTATTTTAATCAACTGAAATAAAATAGCTATTTATGATATACGTGTTAAAAGTAAGATTTTATTTTGTGAGTGAAGATGATTAAAAAACGAGCGTTGCGAGTTTTTTAACTTCACGAACAAAATAAAATCACTTTTAACACGTATATCATACACTATTTTTTCTACAAAACTGTTAAAAGTGGGCTTTTTAACATCAAAAATGACAATTAAAAAGCCCACTTTTAACAGTTTTGTAGAAAAAAATATTTTTAGTTAAATTAACATCATTATAAAAAATCAGCAAATATTTCTTTTTTGGCCAAATTATTAAGAACTTTATTATAAGAGTTAATAATAACTAATATTGATAAAAGTTATGCCCTAATTAAAAAATATGTAGAGCTCAAGTTATAAAAGCACCACCATTAAAAAAAAATATAAATAATTTTATATTTTAAATTTTGAATATTTCGATATATAGAAATTTAAATTTACTCAAAATAAATGAAAGCAAAATATTAGAATCTGGTCAATAAATTCTCATATTTTAGGTTGGCCCAAATAAAACGAATATTTTTTTTCGTGTCTCTTGTGAAAATATGTTAGTTTATCTTAAGAGACCCCTCAAAAAATCAGCTCAAAAAAATTTTTTTTGGAGGTCGCTCGATTTTTAAAAATTTCCAAAATTGTCATAAATTGAATTCTTTTTTCTCGTCATTTTATCATTTTCTAGGTTGAAAAAAATCTCGATTCTGAAAATTTTAAATCTATATTTTAATTCCTAAAGGTCACTCATAATTATTTTACCTTTAAAAGTAGTGTACCTAAAATGTTTTCGAGCGACCTCTAAAAATAAATATCAACGAACTAATAATTTTTTTTATTGAATTTGATGAACAAAAGAATAGAAATAAATCACGAGACACTTAAAAATTTTCTCGAGGCAAAATTTACTACCGCACTGTATCAAATATTTATAATTTTTTAATTTTTTAAAATTTAAGTGTCTCATGATTTATTTTTAGATTAAAATATCGATTTGAAATTTTCAGAATCGAGATTTTTTCAACGTAGAAAATGAAAAAAAAATCAATTTTTGATTATTTTGGAAATTTTTAAAAATCTTGAGCAACTTCTAAAAAAAATTTGTTGTGAGCTGATTTTTTGAGGGGGCTCTTAAAACATGATAAACTAGCATATTTTCACAAGAGACACAAAAAAAATATTCGTTTTTTTTTTTAGGCCGCCGTCCTACTGTACTTATTTGAAAAATTCATGTTATTTTTAATTTTGGCAGCTTAAAATAATACCTACCATTTTCTTTTAAATTAAAAATTAACTCCTGACTATTTACATCTAGATTTAAGCGATGTTTATTTAGTGTTTGTAGACAAGCAAAAATTACGAATTCTTTTTTCCTAAAATAGTATACAAATAGCCCAATCGGCATTAAATCAGTGATTTTGTGACAAAAATATTAGTAGCAAACGGACTGTGTGATCTGTATGTCTAAAAGAGTTTTGTATTATTATACTTCTACTTTTAAAATCCGGCTGAAAAATTAAAATCAGGCCATCTCCAACGCATCCAGAAATGCAAAATAGTGCACCAAAAAATTCAAATTGCAATTATGCCAAAACTAATGGTCTGACAGCGCCTGCTTTGCGCACACTTAAACTACATATAACTCACTACTTTTGTGCACAGGGTCAGCTCTACAACTTAAAAAATAACGGAATAATGAATTTTTAAAAAAAATTTTTTTGATCTTTCCGGGTTTTCTTCATTTCTAATTATCCAATTGAATCAATCAAGCTCTTATTTTATTCATATTTCGATTATCTACAATCTGTCTCTTTATAGCACTCAAATTGTTTTGTTAGTTTAGGTTTTATAAGCAAAAAACTAAAAAAATTTGTTTTTTTTTTAGCATAAAAATGTTTATAAAAAATTAGTTAATGGTAAATTGGAGTAAACATATATCTACAGACTGTCTTTTATATGGCACAGTCCGTTTGCTACTAGTATCTTTGTCACAAACAAAACCTCTGTTGATTGGCCTAAAAATGTTAACTCAACCTAACAGCCTAACACTCAATATCACCTTTTAAACAGGCATTACTGAAAAACTCATACGGACAAAACGTTATTTCCTCTTCGTTTGAATTTGAAATGAAATACAAATCCTATTTATTAAAATTTAGTTGAGACTCCATTTTATAATCTAACGTTTCCTTAGTCTACTTAGTTTCCTTTTTTAAACAAAATTTTTGAGATTGCAGAGACTTAATTTTCATTTATAAAGAAATAATATTAAGAGGGCTATATAGCAAATAGGCAACCAGTAATACATTTTTATAGATTTTATTGCACAGTTTGTCTAAAATGAATCAATGCACAAATAACAGACTTTCCCCCATTCTAACGCAGATTTTCAGTAAAATGGAGTTAATTTGAAACCCAAATTACTTTTTGTTGTAAAGAAATTTGCAATTTGCCACTTTGGAACAAGCGGCATCGTATATTACAAATTTCTTTACACCAGAAAGTAATTTGAGTTTGAAACTACGTCCATTTTATAGAACATTTGCGTTAGAATGGGGGATAGTCTGTTATTCGTGCATTAATTCATATTTAGACAAACTGTGTAATAAAATCTATAAAAATGTATTGTTGGTTGTCTATTTGCTATAGAGCCCTATGAGTATGAAGTACTGATCGTTAAAATTTTTTTTAACTACTTTAAAAAAAATATTTCTTGCATTATTAAATATTAGGCATAATTTACTAATTGTAAATAAAACTAGTAATAAACAGTAACCGTTTTATAAAATGGACATAGTAAAAATATTTTTCAAAATCATTTCAAGTTTATAATCAAAAGTAATCGTTACTGATTCCTTGAAGCACTGCGTTTAGTTTGTGAATGTCAGGGTTCATAGTTCAAAAGTAATAAAGAATTCCAGGTTTTCCCTGACTTATAAAAAAAAAATCCAGGTCACTTGTAGTTCATTTTTACATAATAATTGGTGTTTAAGCATTAAATTTTTTCTCGACTGGACTCCATAATCTCTTTTATACCCTAACAACCTCTTATAAAGGTTTCAAAACCACAAATAGTTTTCTCTTTCAAGAACCCAGGGCCGGTTTTTACAAAATTTCCAGTTGCAAACATCAAATTCCCTGACTTTCATGAATATTTTTAAAATTCCCTGACTATTCCCTGTTAATTATGAAGAATAACAAATTCCCTGACTTTTCCCGGTATTCCCGGTTTTCCCGGGCGCTACGAACCCTGTACATTATATCCACCTGATGTGATATGATAATAGGGTACAAGGCAAACAAAAAAAATAAGCAGCTAGTGTTAATTTGGTGAAAAGAGAATGGCTAAATTAATTAGTAAAAAAAAATCAGGTTTCAATAACGAAACAACATGAAATACAAATCTCTTGGTTATTTTCTCAACTCAACTAATATTGGCACCTACCTATGACTGGCGGGATCTGAATGAAATGTTTACAAGTAATCTGCAAAACACGGCAGTTTTCATCGGGATTGGCCGAGACGTCGTCCAAAATCTCGAGCAAATCCGGCTGCTTGTAGTTGGTTCTCCTTGAACGCTGCAGAAAATTGTTCCTCTTCTCCCGCAACTTGAAATAAAACACCCACTGCCCCTTCTGCCGCTGTTGCCACAAACAATCACACTGTCTCCTTATTAGGGTATCGGGGTGCTCCTCTAAAGCGGCTTTGATAGATTTCAGTTTATTCACAAAGGGGGGATACACATAATGTAAGGCTCTGATGACGGAAGTACGTAAGCCATACTTCCGTACAAGACATTCGGGTTGTAGTTCATCCGGTACGTTCGGAACGTTGTTATAATATCGTTTATATAAACTAAACCAAAACTTGGCAGTACAAACTACCTCGAACGAAGTTTTGCAAATGCTGGCAAAACGACCAACATCTTCCGGTCTGATGTATTCTGACAGCAAAAACCAAATATCAATTGGATAGTCGTTACCAGGTCTATCTTTAGTTTCTTCGCTGTTTGAATTTGTTTTTTTCCTACGCCTTGGTTCTACCTTACGGATTACATAAGATACGTTTCCTTCTTCGTCTACTTCTTCAACAAAGTCACCTTCGAAGTCATCGATTTTTTCGTCCCAGCTTTTCTCTTCTTCAAATTTTTTTAAAACCTTGGAGACATTGCTAGTCGACTTTTTGAGTCTACCTTTAGAGGCAGAAACTGATGCGTTTGCAAAATCGTTCAGGGTAATGTCTGTAAGAAATCAAAGAACTAAATTATGATATATAAATATTACTTGTTTATTTTCATTTAAAATAAAAAAAGTACTACTACATAATTAATGTATTACGAAGAGAATTCTTACATAATAAAAAAAGGTGAATGTTGCAACATAATTACAAAAATTTCATTTTATTTTTATTTTAACACAAACCAAAAGATTATGTACCTACATTATTTGTACTCACTTATATTTATTACTATATTATTACTTATTGCCAGCAGAAATTATTTTTTTACCAAAACTACTTTGTTAAAAACAGTTTTTAAAAACATTAAATATATTCTACTCTACATTCATATGCAAGAAAACATATATATATGTATTATCATAGACTTTTAAATGTTTTATAAATATTTTAAATTCAACAGCTGCGTTATCTCTTTCCAATATCAAACAATACTTTTGGACGCAAATAAAAACAATAACAAAGTTACATACCTCCTAATGATTTGGCTGAACGATTTTTTCCAGATTTTTTATGCGACATGTTACAACTACTTGGAAATTAATTGTCAAAGGGTGAATTTTAAACATATTAAAGCTGGAATAAACAAATTACATCTTGAAATTGAAAAAGTGAGACCACCGCTTTCAAGAGCCATGATGGACTGTCAGATGTCACATTTGAAGGTTAACATCAGCTGTTCAATGTCAGGAAAAGGTGCCTTATTTATCGACTAATTAATTCATTGACTGCTGTTACTTGTGACGGTAGTAGTTTAATTAAAAAATATATTACTTTACGTACCAACAAATTATTATACGCATATTGATACTGTAAAATGTTTAAATGAAATTAATGAATATTGGTAGTGCCATCTAGCGACGCGTAGGGTATCTAGTTTAGGACATTGTTTGAAGCGATAGGAATTCTTCTTTATCGATGGACATAGGGCTTGTTTAACAAAATTGACAATTGGTTTTAAAATGGCTGGCAGGCGATAAGTTTGTGTATGCAGCGAGAACTGTGTGAGATGGAATTTGAAGGTGTGTCACTGTGAAAACTAGAGAATTATGTTAATATTATCAATTACTGTGGTAGTGAAAATGTGCTCGTGCGAATTTTTACCGCGGTTCCAGTGTCGATCGGTAAAATTTAGTTAATAAAAGTGTTCTCGTCTGTCAAAGGGGGTTAGAACCGATCCAGGTTATTTAATATATTTTCCGGTGGCGGTGTGTGAATTGTAAATAAGCAAACATGTGGAACATGATGTGCGATGTGATGCCGACAATATCGGAGGACAGTATAAGCCAGAGAAGTTCACAGTTCTCTGGCGAAGATGCGAATTTCGAACAGCTCATGGTTTCGATGTTGGATGAGAGGGACAAATTAATGGACAGTCTTAGAGAGACCCAGGAACGTTTAGGGGAGACGGAAATAAAGCTGCAGGAAACGGAGAAGGAACGGGACTCACTCCAGAGGCAAATAGCTGCAAATCTCCCACAGGTAAGAATTGACAACTAGCGCAGACGGTCTCATGTCAATGTGCCGCTTTCGTCTATGTCTCCGTGCACCGATTTGGGAGCTTTATTGATTCTCTCGGCGAAGCTTTATTCGCCATTTTCACGCGGAAAATCCTTCCGTTTTATTTTCGTATGTATATGTCCGTCTACCCACTTGGGTAGATCGTCTCTACGAGGTGGCAACGTTAACGATTGCAGGGGAAACTCCGCCCTTGAGTACTGCCAACCGCAGCCGTCAAATTGAGTAACCTAGGTTACCATCATTTCTCATTATCACTCTGTACATGTCATGTAGGGTTTAAGTATCGAAAATAATGCACCTAATCCAAAAACTTGGAAGAAAAGCTGCAGACATGTTAACCACAAACTGATATAAATTTAAACGTTATTTCAGATATGTCTATCCTCAAAATAGAAATGAAATAATGAGGTTTATGACTGATTTTAAAAAACACATAAAATTAAATGCTTTATAACCTTCTGCATTGTTGTGCCTTGACAATTAACCCAGCGTATCTAAGAAAGATTGGAAATAACTTTTTAAATCTCAATCATAGTTCACCTTAAGTTCAGCAGTTCGATTTTATAGCCTTAGATATGAAGAGGAGGTCATTTTGTATAGAATTGCAAAATGCAAATTGTAACGTAAATGTTATCATTGTTTGATAATTACTAAGAAAATTATCTCTGTAATGATAAAAATGATGGATGTTCGCCCAGTATTCTCTGAACCTCTCTAGATATATATTTGTTGGATTACTGTTTATATTTGTAAGATACGTTATTTGGAAATTTAGTTCAGCAAACAACACGGTCGCTATAGAATTAGACACAAATGCTTACCTACTATTTGGTGATAATTTTTGGCAACTACTTGTGGATCTAAAAATACCATACAATAGAAAATGTGGTGCGCGTAGTTATAGAATACTTTTGTATAAATAAATGGAAAACTATATATCCTGCTAAGTACCTAATTGTTTATTATTAGAGTTGAAAACACCTCTATTAGTTTAGATGTTTACCAAGTATCTAAATTTAAATCAATATACTACTTTAAAAATATAAAAACATTGAATTTTGCAGTACCTATATGTGACATTATCGACTTATCGATAAAATATTTCTTACCAAAAATTAATATAATGCATATACTAGTAATATGGTATGTTTCTATTAATTGCAGAACTTGACGCATCCATTTTTTTACTATGTGAGACAATATGAGAAATTCGTTCAATAATCATGAACGCTAACGGTTTATGGCAGTTGGGTGTCTTTATTTGGCACGCTCGAATATCGCGATGGGTTCAAAAACCTCCGCCAAATGCGTTGCTCGTATTTATATTTGTGTATCCTTAAAACTTTTTAATGTCAATTAATGTTCTCGCGCTACTGCTTAATGAGCTCCGTTGCCGTTTTATGGGCTGCACTTAATTGTCCGTCGTAAACGCCCTTTTTAACCCAAGAACGGAAACTCTCAAAACACAAATATGATAAAGTGACAAGTTTCTGTAAATATATACTTCAAAAGTACTAAAAACAAACAATTTTTTCCAAGTGTTTTAAAGTCTTCGGAACACGCTACTTGTTTAGACTTGGAAGATTGTAAGAGGTTACCAAAAGTAGCACCAACTAATACGCGTGTGGCGTTTCATACCCACTATTTCTCGGAAAGATTTTTTTATATGAAAGCTTTCCCAGCGGAGTGCTATCCGTTTCCTTTTTTTCCCGATATCGCCCGCTCTCATCTGCGTTAATTGGCAGAACATTTAATTAAGGGCCTTTTCGCCTCCTCGCCAGAAGTAGAAAGGGAAGAATTAAGTTATTATTAAGTTAATTAGAGTGCCGATTCGAGTTGGTAAAACGCCGAGCTAAATACCTGTTTGAAGTTTGGGGTACTTAAACTTTAACGGGGAGCAGATTTAAAATTTGATGGCGTGAATTATGGATGATTCGGTGCTGGCTGCTGGAAATGCGAAAGGGTGAAGATTTAATGGGGAAATGGATCTGTCGTGTACACGAGGGTAAATAGGGAGTTTTTTTTTGCGGGTGATTTTGCGAAAAATGAGTCATCGAATGATGTCGATTGTAATCACGGAACTGACATTAACTTGCAACATTAATGAATTGTAATAAAAATAAAGCGAATTCTCTTGTCTAGTCTTTTCATTAACACCAAGAACGTGAGTCGATGTTTTGCTTGAAGGTAGAAAAATACTGATGACACTCTCAAGATCGATTTTCAAGGCAGATTTAATTGACAAATCAGATATTTGATATCTCTTCTGCTAGACGGGTTAGTAGAATTGCAGTAAAATTAGTTCCTATGAACTATTAGACGTATAATAGTGATACTAGTTTTTTTTAGTGGATCCCATGGTTACTAAGCTGTACAGCAGAAATATTTTTTTGATTTAATGGGAGGGTAGTTGGATAAAGTGCATTTTTTATTATACTATATATCATGAATATTTAACAAACAAACGAAATACGGTCCATTTGCGTTGAAAATTGAATTCGAAAACGTATCATCAGTTTTCTTCTTACCTCTAGTAATCACAGCGCATATAACAATTTTATACGTTTTGATAAATTATGACATTTTTAATATCATTTTTCATTTTAAAATTAACATTTCAATAATTTCAGTATTCTTTTTAAAATATTTTTGGTGGCAGTAACATCGTATCACAGTATAATACTACATATCAAATTGTGTTTTACTTTCGTAAATGCAAACCTTTGTCTTATAAGGAACATTTGTATTCACAGAAGTGCACCATAGTAGTATGCTACTTATGCATGGAACTAAATCATATTTAAACTTTTTCACGCAAATCATTTCGTGATTACAGTTTGTAGATAATGTAAAATACTTAAAGTTATTTGCGAAAGAAGCAGTGCATGCTTTGTACCATTTATTCTATATCGGTTACTTGATGCCCTCGAACGGTGTACGGAGGTTCTGGCTCCACAATATTCTCTTCAACAGCTTTTTTCCTGCTTTTGCTATTTTCTGTTTCAATTTATCAAGTACTTATACTTTCTTTTGGTCACAAATTTTCCTTTCTACCGGCTCTCTTCTTCACCCGACATTTTATAGGTTAAAGCAATGAGATTGCGAGCGATCACAGCATCATATATTTATATACATAACAAAGACTGCCGACAAATAATAAACTTGGCATACTCGTACGCTGTTTCCAAGTATCTGTTTCAGCTCGTGGTATTTATTTATGCATATTGGGTGAAAAATAATAATTGAGAAATGGAAATATATAATTTTAAGTATTTTAAACTCGATTTTATTCAATAAGTATCTCGATCTACTTACTTTCTAGTCATAAAGAATATTTTTCTTTGCCACTGGCAGCAATAATTATCTAACCCCCCTTTCGATCCTCCTTAATGTGTATTGCACACCCGCTAAGCGCCTAGCGCTAAGCGACTGCTAGTAAAAAATATTAGTCATGTTTACCTACGACAATCTAATTAAGTTAAATAGTAAATTATTAATAAAAATAAATTTTTATCATTTTATTAAGATCTGTTTGCTGAAACTCGCTACGCTTCTACTATTTTTATAAAATAGGTATGTGCTAGCAGCTTTCACAAATATTTCTATAATTAATCCAACTATTTGCAAATTCCTGTATGATATGAAATATCTACCGTTTCTTTCATAAGTGTTCTTGGAAATGTATAAAAACGGTAAATAAGAGGGTAAATGAACCTCTTTCAAAAACCTTCATGAAATTCTCTATATTTCCATAGAATTTCTAGTACGCCAACTTCAAGAAACGTTTAAATATTCATAAATCATTTTCCAGAAAACTTTTTTATATCTATACTTAACGGCTTTTCAAGGAATTTTCTTATGAGTAAGTATTTTTAGTCGATTGTAAAATTATCTCAAGACAAATAATTGATTTAAAAATATAAAACAAATTTCTTTAGGTATATCATGACAACTAGGGAAAAGGTACATTAACAAATTTTTCGTAGTTTAGGGACTGAATAGGTAATTTTTCTTGATTTCTCAGAAATAAATCTCAGTACACTTTTGTTGGTGATTACAATTTCTAAAGAAGTTTTCTCTCTATAGAACAATGTCATCTGTTAAAATCGGATCAGCATGCATATTTTTATGTTGTAGACTTCAGCTGATTATAGAAATGTTTGACAAAGCGTAGGAAATGTTTGAAAGTGGAAGATTTGTTAATGTATCAAGAACATAGAACTCTGATTTTTAAATTTTGCTTCTATATATTTTTTTAATTATTATTATAGTAGGTGTATTATTTAAGAATATTTTCTTATGTAGATGTTTACTCCTGATGCTTTCCTTTTTGAAATATTGAGTCTTATAAGTAGTTGACTTTAAAATTTTCAAAAGGTATGTTATAGGTACATATCTTTAAATAGGTATATCCCTAACAAATAAAGATATTAAAAGGAAAGTTTATTTAAATTTAATTTATTTTTTTAATTTAAAATTATTTAAATAATACATTAATTAAATACCAACCCGTAATAATTATCTCAAAAACATATCACTACTAGTAGAAAAATTGAAATTTTTGAAATGTAAACTATATTTAAAGTTATATTTTGAACGAAATTGATCTCTTGATATATTTTACTTAATTAGTAATCAAAATAAGCTATTTGTAAAGATGATACGTTTAGGTAAAATCAGTAGTTTTACAAAACGTTTAAACTACCTACTTACAACGCTGAAAAAATCTTTCAGTACCATTCGAGGTATCTTCATCTGTTTAGAACATACACTCAGCACAAAAAAAAGTAGCAGAAATTCCAAATTTTTTTTTTTAGTGATAGAAAAAAAGGCATCCTGATGCTTGAAGATTCTAGTTTTGAAATCTTGATATAAAACATTTTTTGCCTTACTTTTTCTCACAATTCCGCGTTACTTGTTAAATATCGAAAAAAAAATCAATTTAAAAAAATTTTCAAATT